TCTGCAGATGTAGATGCCACTGGTTCTTCACGTTCTGCAGATGTAGATGCCGCTGGTTCTTCACGTTCTGCAGATGTAGATGCCACTGGTTCTTCACGTTCTGCAGATGTAGATGCCACTGGTTCTTCAAGTTCTGCAGATGTAGATGCCACTGGTTCTTCACGTTCTGCAGATGTAGATGCCACTGGTTCTTTAAGTTCTACAGATTGTAGATGCCACTGGTTCTTCACGTTTGCAGATGTAGATGCACTGGTTCTTCACGTTCTGCAGATGTAGCTGCCACTGGTTCTTCACGTTCTGCAGATGTAGATGCCACTGGTCTTCACGTTCTGCAGATGTAGAGCCACTGGTTCTTCACGTTCTGCAGATGTAGATGCCACTGGTTCTTCACGTTCTGCAGATGTAGATGCCACTGGTTCTGCACGTTCTGCAGATGTAGATGCCACTGGTTCTTCACGTTCTGCAGATGTAGATGCCGCTGGTTCTTCACGTTCTGCAGATGTAGATGCCACTGGTTCTTCACGTTCTGCAGATGTAGATGCCACTGGTTCTTCACGTTCTGCAGATGTAGATGCCACCGCCAAATATTTGCACGACGGTTGAACTTGCGACTCTCGGTTCGAACAGGCAACTGGTTTGTTCGTATCTCTGAAAGTTCGTAAGTCGAATGTTCGTAAGTAGAGGAGTGTATGTACAGACACAAAGGCAAAGATCCCCCGTGTAGCCTTACCAGCCTGTTGGGGCAAGTGCTGTTATCGAGCAGCACCTATGAAGGCCGGCACGGCGCACGAGGGGGTGGGTGGCCAGCACCACCCGGCCGCCTTTGTCTCCCCAGTGGCGATGTTTACTACACACCGCATCAGGTACTCATTTGAGGCCGAGTCGATCTAGGGGAGGCCCACGACCGGTTCAGCTTATCGTCACCGGTGTTGTTCGTGAGCGGGAATCGAACTCGGGCCGTCGGGTTCGTAGCGCAGCGTAGCGCTAACCGCGACACCAAATACAAAGATCCCCCGTATAGCCTTAACAGACTGTTGGGTCAAGTGCTGTTAGCGAGCACCTATGAAGGCCCACATACACATACATACATATACACAGACACACAAAAAAAACTATTTCACAGATACGAGTCATAATCTCAAGGCATCTTAATTTCAATTTTAAAAAAGGAGATGCACCAAAAACCCCGCTTTTGTCCAAGGAACGCTGACCAATGCCACTTTAGAAACATTCCCTCCCAAAGGTACTGGCGGCCAGTGCAGGCTCACTCCACTGCTCGCGTGGACACGAAGCCTCCACTACGTCTTGGCCTACTCTTCCACGTGAACCAGCAAAGTCTTCGCGAGGAGAGGCGGGCGGGAGAGTTACCCACGCCTCACCCCATCGAATACCGCGTGTGCATTGAAAAATGTTGATGCTCCTTCGATGCTCCGGCTGTTATGGAGAGACTCATGCTGCCGGCTATGGCTGCAAAGTTTGGTCGTACATGTTTATGTATATCGTGTATTGTTAAAATTTGAATCACAGTTCCTATGATCACCGTTACGTTGTTTTTTTATAGCTTCATTTCGGTGATTTCGAAAACGTTTTGGTTCAGCCATGTTTGTTGTAGTACAGAGTTAGACTGGTAACTTCAATCTAAATTGTCTTATGGTTGTTGTTGTTGTGGTTGTTGTTGTTTGACTTGCATCCCACTGGGATTTTTGCACACAGCGTTGATACAAGGTGCTTTTTCCGCAAGACTTTGCTGTTTTTTGCCTGGATTTTTCTGTTTGCGCGTGTAGCCACTTTAAGATGTTTTCTTTGTTCACGTTTTTGTTTGTTGCGGTTGCACCCGATTCAAGAGCCGAATGGCTCACAGGGCTTTACCAAATACATGAAACTGAACTGAACCCACACGGTTTGCCACCCAGTATTCGTGTACAGGGAAATGTGGCTTTCAGGTCTACACAGCATACAGATGATAATTGGTTTTTTACCCTTCTATCTGGCAACAAAACTGACACCTTTTTACAAGGATTCATGTTTGCATAGACCGCAATACCTGCAGTCATAATACAAAAAAAAACATAACTCTGATAATGTGCACTGTCCTTGAAGTTGATTGGTCCACACCCGAGACAGCTTTCCTTAGAGCCTAGTCTCACATGGTGTTGGACCAGATGACGCCAAAAGGCGCACAACTCAAAGACAATGCACCATCAGAGTATGAGAGCTCGGGGCAAGCATCTACACTATGGGTTGTGCGCCTTTTGGCGTCATCTGGTCCAACCCATGTGAGACTAGGCTCTAAGGAAAGCTGTCTCGGGTGTGGACCAATCAACTTCAAGGACAGTGCACATTATCAGAGTTATGTCTTTTGTTTGTATTTATGACTGCAGGTATTGTGGTCTATGCAAACATGACTCCTTGTAAAAAGGTGTCAGTTTTGTTGCCAGATAGAAGGGTAAAAAACCAATTATCATATTTTTTACTGGCAAATGAGGTTCCCATAGAACATACAGATGTTTCAATACAATACAATGCCATTGTGTCTATTTGTTTGTGTTTCTCCCTTGTGATGGGACTTTGTGGGATGAACGTTGAGATTTGTAAGGGCACCACGGGGTGAGCAATACGGTCTGAATTGGTCCGTAATAAGGTATGGCACTGATGAGGTATGTAATAGTGTAGTGTAGTAGTGTATAGTGTAGTGTATAGTGTCGTATAATGGTACAGCGCTAACCGGTAGTATGTTGGAGAGTAAACACACTACAACATTTACAATTGTAGTGTAGTGTATAGTGTATGTATAATGTAGTGTATGGTGTAGTGTATAGTAATGTGTGTATAGTGTAGTGTATAGTGTAGTATGCTAATACAGCACTAACCGGTAGTGTTGGAGCGTAAACCCATCTCAACATTTACAATGTAGTGTATAGTAGTGTATAGTAGTGTAGTGTATAATGCAGTGTATAGTAGTGTGTAGTGTATAATGCAGTGTATAGTGTAGTGTATAGTAGTGTATAGTAGTGTGTAGTGTAGTGTATAGTAGTGTAGTGTATAATGCAGTGTATAGTGTAGTGTATAGTAGGGTAGTGTATAGTAGTGTAGTGTATAATGCAGTGTATAGTGTAGTGTATAGTAGTATATAGTAGTGTATAGTGTAGTGTATAGTAGTGTAGTGTATAGTGTAGTGTATAGTGTAGTGTATAGTAGTGTAGTGTATAATGTAGTGTATAGTGTAGTGTATAATGTAGTGTATAGTGTAGTGTATAGTGTAGTGTATAGTAGTGTATAATGTAGTGTATAGTGTAGTGCAGGGGTCGGCAACCTACGGCTCCGGAGCCGCATGCGGCTCTTTACGGGCTGCTTCTTGACGATATGTACGTATGTACAGTATGTACTCAGATGCATTGCGGCTCTTGAAATACTGAATTTTGTACCGAATTGGAAAGAAATGGCTCTTCTTGTTATTTTGGTTGCCGACCCTGGTGTAGTGTATAGTGTAGTGTATAGTGTAGTGTATAGTAGTGTAGTGTATAGTAGTGTAGTGTATAGTAGTGTAGTGTATAGTGTAGTGTATAGTAGTGTATAGTGTAGTGTATAGTAGTGTATAGTGTAGTGTATAGTAGTGTAGTGTATAGTAGTGTAGTGTATAGTAGTGTAGTGTATAGTAGTGTAGTGTATAGTGTAGTAAACCCACTACAACATTTACACATTCGAGTACCCTGACGTTTCGCCGGTAATTGCAACAACCAGCATCATCAGGCGAGAGCCAGATGATGTTGTTTCAAAAAACAAGAATAACTCCCGATTTTTAAATCTGGCTGCCACTTGATTTCCACGTCCTATTGAGCCCATCACCGCCCTCCATTCCCCATCTGCTCTTGCCGCAAAAACTTCACCTCCACACGTCATCGTGCGGGGCGACGTGGACCCCCCCCTCCTGCACCCTCGCCTCTCTCCCTGCACCCTGCCCCCCGCGTACTCCCACGCTGACCCCCAAACGAGCGTGAACACGACCTTCAAGAGACGAACCCTCCAACAAACCCCCACGACGCAGCCGATGAAATGGATGGCGGACACCGAACGCCCCTCTCTCGCCTCAACTCCTCCGTGCCTCTCTCTCTCGCGCTCTCTCTCGCGCTCTCTCCGTCTTGGCGCCTTTAACCTCTCCCCCCCCGCCCCCTCCCCGCCGGGGTCACGTGCGACGCTCCGCAGATGTTGGGGCGCCCACGCAGGCCGGCAACGGCCGCACGAGGGGGCCGGGTGGCCAGCGCCACGCCCGGCGCCTTTGTCTCCCCAGTGGTGATGTTTACTTACACACCGCACCAGGTACTCATTTGAGGCCGAGTCTACCTAGGGGGAGGCCCAGGACCGTCGAACAAAGACGGTGGTCACCACCCGCGTCGCGCGGGGCTTTCGGGTACGCCTCTGCGGCCGTCTGGAACGCTCTCCCTTGCGACATCAGGAAGCAACTGGGCGCTATGGCACCATTAAATCATCATCATCACCATCGAGATTGACGAAAGAAATTCTTTTGAATTGCTTTTTGTGTGGGTGCGAAAGAAGTTCCACACACAGTGCGTACACACTCGCGCGCTCACTCATCTCGCGCCACATCTAATCTCATAACTGGCCAAACCCCGTAATCTTGTGCAGCGAAATTGAGTTTTCAGGTCCATATGGCATACGGTGGCCGGCGTTTTCCGGCCGGCGCGGGCGTGTTGTTGCCGGCGTGTGTGTGGTGGGTGGGGCGGCGCGTGTCGGGGAGACGCGTGGCGTAGGTGCCGTGCCAAACCCCATGCTGGGTCGGCTCGCTTGTGCCAGTAGAAAAAAACAACAAAACACCCGTCCACGCCAACCCCATACGGTGGCTCGGTTCGCGTGTGCCAGTGGAAAAACAACACCCGTGCCACGCCAACCCCAAACGCTGGGTCGGCTCGCTTGTGCCAGTAGAAAAAACAACAAAACACCCGTGCCACGCCCCCCATACGGTTGGCTCGGTTCGCGTGCGCCAGTGGAAAAACAACACCCGTGCCACGCCAACCCCAAACGCTGGGTTGGTTCACGTGCGCCAGTGGAAAAAACAACACCCGTGCCACGCCATCCCCATACGCTGGGTCGGTTCGCGTGCCCCAGTGGAAAAAGCAACCCGTGCCGTGCCGACTCCAATACGGTGGCTCGGCTCGGCGAGTGTCGGTGTACCTACCCACGCCGGCGTCGCAAGTCAACGTGTCGTTTCCCGGCACCGCCGACAAGCACGTCCGGCTACGCACGGCGCGACAGAAGTTCAACGTACGTGCTGCTGCTGTACATCATCCGCGCGTGGCCCTACTGGGTCAGGTTCACCCGATGTCAGCGGCGGTGTCCGTCATGCGCCTTGGTTCCGCCTCGGCTTCGGCAAATCGCCGGTGGAAAAAACGCAACCCGCGCCGCGCCAACACCATTCGCCGGCTCGGCTCAAGTGCGCCAGTGGAAAAACCAACCCATGCCGTGCCAACACCATCCGTCGGCTCGGCTCTGTGTGCGCGTCGGCTCTCCGCCGCAGATTCACAGCAGCGTGGCCTGCTCGTACTCCTTGTCGGCGCTCCGCCGCAACGTCACAGCAGCGTGGCCTGCTCGTACTCCTCGTCGGAGACCGGCGAGGCCGCCCCGCCCGGCCGCTCGACGGCCGCGTGGCCGCCCCCTTCTGCGGGCGGTAGTGCCGCTGGTAGGCCAAGAACTCGGCCTTCAGGGCGGCGCAACGGGCCGCCAGGTCCGCCCGGAGCGGTGCATCGGCGCCGCCGTCGGCCCGCCAGGACGGCGGGGCGACGGCGGTGGAGGAGGAGGAGGAGGGGGGGGAGGGCGTGGTCGTCACGGCGACGGCTGCGGAGGCGACGTCGCCGCCGCCGCAGCTCAGGTCCTCCATGGAGACGGAGGGGCGGGAGGTCACAGGGATGCCCGGCCGAGAGGGAGCTGGGGGAACAAGAGAGAGGCAGAGAGGGTGGGGGAGGAGAGACAGAGAGAGTGGGGGGGAAGGGGTGAGAGAGAAGAGAGAGTCGTAGTGTTAGCGTCAGGGTCACACGGGTAGTGATGACAACAGTAGCCATGACGACGGTAGCCACGACGACGGTAACAATGCCTGAAGAGATCATGACAGTAGCGATGACGACGATAACCACGACGGTAACAACTGTAGCGATGACTACGGTAGTGATGACAACAGTAGCCATGACGACAGTAACAACTGTAGCGATGACTACAGTAGCCATGACGACAGGAACAATGACCGTAGCGATGACTACGGGGTAGCGCTGACGACGGTAGCGATGACGACAGTAGTCATGACGACGGTAGCCACGACAACGGAGACAACGACTGCAGCGATGACGCTGGCGATGACGACGATGACGGTGTTCGGGGCGCCACCTACCGCTGCCACCACCACCGCTGCCACCACCACCGCCGCCACCGCCGGCGTGGGTGGGCGGTCGTTCGCGCGCAAAGTCGGAGGAGTGCGGCCGCTGGAGCTGTCGGCTGACGTAGAGACGCAGCGACTGCATCACGGCCGACTCGGCACACAGCTCCACGTCCCACTCGTAGCCCTCGTCCACGGACAGCTCGCGCCTGGCGGGGGGGTGGGCGGGGGTGGGGGAGGGGAGTGAGGTGGGGGGGCGGCAGGGGGGCGGGCGTGGTGGTGGTGGGGGGCGTGAGGGAGGGAGTTGGAGTCGAACCGGCGCGCTCTGTCGTCCACAGGTCTGGCACAAGTGCCGTGGTGACGTCCACGCCACCTCGTGGCCAATGGCGGTTGTTGTCGTTGTTGTCGCCCGTATAGTGTAGTGTGTAGTGTAGTGTACAGGTTAGTGTATAGGGTAGTGTATAGTAGTGTAGTCTATAGTGGTATATAGTAGTGTAGTGTATAGTAGTTTATAGCAGTGTAGTGTATAGTAGCGTAGTGTAGTGTATAGTAGTGTATAGGGTAGTGTAGTATAGTGTAGTGTATAGTGTAGTGTAGGGTAGTGTAGTATAGTGTAGTGTATAGGGTAGTGTATAGTAGTGTAGTGTGTAGTGTACAGGTTAGTGTATAGTGACACAAGTGCCGTGGTGAAGTCCACGCCACCTCGTGGCCAATGGCGGTTGTTGTCGTTGTTGTCGTTGTTGTTGACCTTCACACCACCACTGCTGCGTCCACCCCGCCGCACACGGACACGTCGTGCCGGCAACGTCAAGCGCGGCGCACAACGGCACCCACCTGTTCGCCAGGTCCGAGTAGAGACTCTCGTTTCCCATCATCCTTTGCGAGCCGTCCTGGCTGTGGACGCCGCTGCTCTCCGTCTGCGGCGAACCGCACGGCATGCTGGGATGGGTCAGGCCGCCACCTCCTCCTCCGCCGGCAACGCACGGCATGGTGGGATATCCGAAGCCGCCCCCTCCGCCGAATCCGCCGCCACACGGCACGCTGGGATGGCTGAAGCCGCCCCCTTCGCCGCTGCACGGCACGCCGGCTCCGGCGACGGTGACGCGCCGCGGCCGCTGCTCTGCGGACTGGGCCCGCCCGCCGGGGCTACGTCGGGCAGCGGCGACGGCGGTGACGGCCGCCCCCTTCTGCCGTCGCGTAAGCTCCAGGAGCCGGTCGGCGATGTTGCACGCCTCCACGACGTCAATGCTCGCGTAAGGCGGAGGCGGCGGCGGCGGCAACGGCGGCAACGCCGGCGCCGCCCGGCGCTCCGGGCTCCGCGAGAAACTCTCGGCCAGAAGCTCGTCCAGCTCCGTTTCGGCAGCGTCGCGGCACCGGCCCGGCGACACGCGGCCGCCGACGCGAGTCCACGGCGGAGGCGGCGGCGGCGGAGGCCGTTCCTCGGCCGGCCAGGCTCGTGGGGCCCACCGGCGGCGGGCCCGGGCCGTCCCCGCGCCGGATCGTCGCCAGCGGCGGGCGGGAACACAAAGAAGCGGGGGCCGTCGTCGCCGAAGCCACCGGAGGAGCCTCCCCACGGCGGCCGAGATTCCGCGCCGGGGGACCGTTCGCCGCGGCCGCCGCGGGGGACGACGGCGCTGACGTCGGGCAGAGAGAGGAGGCCGCTGCCGGCGCCGCCGCCGCCCGACCCTGGCCGCGTCGCCGGACCGGCGCCGCCAATCGTCGGCGGGCGTCGAGGCGAATCGGGCCCGCGCCTGCCCATGGGTAGACCTCCACCACGCTGGAGCCCGACGGCCAGGCCGTCAGCAGCGCGGAGCCTCGCGGCGACGACGAAGCCCCCGGCTCGGGCGGCGGCGGCGGACGCCCGAGACGGGCGTCGTCGAATTCGTCGGAGCCGCCACCGCCGGCGATCGCGAACTTGCCGTCAGCCCCGCGGGAAATCTTGCCGATAGGCCGCGCCCCGGCGGCCTGGTCCTGCCGGCGCGCGGCAGCGGCGGCGGCGTCGGCGTCGGCCACGCAGTAGCAGCCCTCGCTGTCGCTGGCGCCGCGCTCCGACAGGCAGCCCAGCGACAGCTGACTGCCGCCGGACAGGTTCAGCCGTTTCCTCCGCCGCCGCCGCCGCGGCCTCCTCCGCTCGCGCCTCCCGCCAGTGCCGGCAACTCCGTCTGCCTCCCCCTCCTCGTCGTCGTCATCGTCATCATCCTCCTCGTCGTCATCGTCGTCGTCTTCCCCGCCGACGCCGTACTCGTCACGCCCGTAGCTCCCGCACGGAGGAGGTGGCGGGCGGAGGAGGCGCTGTCGTCGAGCGCCGGGATGCGGTAGCGCCCCAGGCCGGAGCCGGCGCCGCGTCGCCCGGTGCCGAAGAATCGCGGTCGGTCGGCGGCGCTGGCGCCGGCGGCGCTGTCGTCGCGGGCGACGAGCGGGGCGCGGGCCTTGTCCTCGCCGCAGCACGGAGACGGCGGGGAGGAGAGCACCAGCGGGATCGGCTTGCCGCTGCCGGTGCCGCCGCGGCTGTAGTCGCTGCGGGCGGGGGGGGGGCACAAAACACTCGTCGGGATACTTTTGGCGGCAGTGTCGGTGAGCGGCTCTCCGCCTCCGTGGAAGCGGACACTGCAGAGCTACCCCTAACGAGGTCCCTTCTCAGGGAGGGAGGGAGGGGGGGGAGGGAGGGGCCGTCTTTGTTCGATGGCATAGTGTAGTGTATAGTAGCGTGTAGTGTAATGTGTTGTAGTGTATAGTAGTGTAGTCTATAGTGTAGTATATAGTAGTGTAGTGTATAGTAGTTTATAGCAGTATAGTGTATAGTAGTGTAGTGTATAGTAGTGGATAGGGTAGTGTATAGTAGTGTATAGGGTAGTGTATAGTGTAGTGTATATAGCATCCCGTCTTTGTCCGATGGTTAACCAATCGATCGAACGTACCTCTCGTACGCCCGGCAGTTGTAATCTGTGGTTTAGGCAGAAAGGAGAGAGAGGGAGAGAGAGAGAGAAACGGAACACAATTAATAATCTCGCAACATCAGTCGGGAAAAACAGCAGGCGTCAGGGTCGGGATCGAACCCATGACCTCCTGTACACCAGGCGAGGTAGTTAACATCTCCTAGCCACCGTGATGATGATGAGAGAGAGACACGCAAACTCCAAATATACAGCAGCAGGCGTCAGGGTCGGGATCGAACCCACGACCTCCTGTAGACAAGGCGAGGTAGTTAACATCTAGCCACCGCAGTATTAACCAGGGCCGCCGGCGGCAGAGCGGTTCCATTGGCGAGCCTCCGCAACCCGGCAGCGCCGCAAATGGCCGCCAGGCGGCGTCGCTATTGGCGCAGCAACGTGGCGGAATTGGAATATTTTTACTTCGCACGCTGGAGGAGGAATCCGACGAGCTGGCAAGGTTTTTCTAAATTTGTACTTAATATTTACTTTTTTCAAAACTTTTTTTCGTGACTTTTTCTTACAAATTTTTTACTCTTTTCAACTTTTAAAACTTTTATTTTCATTTTTTGTAACTTTTTTTTTTTACCTCTTTTTAACTTTTTAAACTTTTGGAATTGTTTTATAATTTCTTCTTACGTATTTCTTTCGAACTTTTTATTAAACTTTTTCTTTTTACGCACACGCATATCCACTACAAAGCTCGCCCGCCCCGGTCAGCCACATTGAGGTCGATACTGCCAGGTAGTCATCGCAGCGGGGAGGCGGGGAGGGAGGGGGCTAACGTTGCTGCCGTTCCCGCTGTTGCACGATCCACACGTCGCCACGCTGGTCAGGCGGAGGGGACGGGGGTCCAGGCACAGGGGCCGGCTCAGGTTCGGATGTCGCGCGCCACTGATGTCGGCCGTGGCTGACCGCTCGCACCACCACTCCTTTCGAAACCACGCACACTCGCTCACCACGTGCGCACACGCACACACACTCGCACACGCACACACACCCGCGCGCACATAAGCTCACACTCGCACATAAGCTCACACTCGCACACACACACCACACACACACACACACCCACAACACACACACCCACAACATACAACACACACTCACACTGGTACCCACACACACTCACACACACACCCACACACACCACACACACACACCCACACACACCCACCACACACACACCACTCCCACACACAACACACACACACCACACACACACTCGTACACACTCACACTCGTACACATTCACACTCGTACACACACTCACACTCGTACACACCACACACTCACTCACACTCGTACACACACTCACACTCGTCACACACACCACACACACCACACAACACACACACCTCGCCTCCTCCGCACCCTCGCCCTCACCTCGTCTCCTCCTCTCCCGGCGCCGGCGACGATGTGCGGCCAGAGCGGCGGCCACGGAGCTGAAGAGCAGCGAGAGCGAGAAGAAGGAGACGCCGGCCACCACACCGGCCAGTACCGGCGTGGACACGGCGCTGGCGGGAGGCCACCGCGGGAACACCGACACGCCTGCACACGCACACACACGCACACACACACGCACACATACGGTGGATGGGTGGGTGGGGTAAGGTGTGACGGTTGAGTGGGTGGGTGGATGGTTGGGTGGATGGGTGGGGTAAGTGAGTGAGGAGTGGGTGGACGGATTAATGGGGGGTGGGGGGTGAGTGGAGTTGGGGACAGGTGGGTGGGTGGTGGGTGGGTGGATGGGTTTTGAGTGGGGGGTGGATGAGTGGGTAGGTGAGTGGGTGGCTGGATGGGTCAGTGGGTGGTGGGTGGAGGGTTTTGAGGGGTGGAGGGTGGGGTGAGTGGGTGGGTGAGTGAGTGGGTGGGGGGTAGTGGGTGTGGGTGAGTGAGTTAGTGGGTGGAGAGTTAGTGGGTGGCGAGGTGGGTGGGTGAGTGAGTTAGTGGGTGGACGGGTTAGTGGGGGGTGGAGGGGTTGTTCAGTGGGGGGCGCGAGGGAATGGGCGGGGGGTGGGTGGTGAGTGAGTTAGTGGGTGAGTGAATGAGTCAAGCCGATCTGTGCGACCAGGACAAGGGGCTACCAGGGTGGGAGTCGTTCACAGCATGACAGCAGCATCGCTCCGATGCCGGAGGGGGGGGGGGGGGGGCGATCAATCCCAATGAGTGATTTGCCGGT